TGAAGAGCAGGAAGAATGCTGAATGTGCATAGAGAGACACTTACAGTCATGGCCGAAATTGTTGGCACCCTTGATATTTTTCCTGAAATCAAGTATTTCACACAAAAAAGGTATTGCATTTAACACAATGTTTTTGCTATACACATGTTTATTCCCTTTGTATGTATTGGAACAAATATAAAACAGAGGCAGAAAAGCAAATATGACATAATGTCACACAACAAACCCCAAAAAATGGGCTGGACAAAAGTATTGGCACCCTTAACTTAATATTTGGTTGCACACCCTTTGGAAAACATAACTGAAATCAGTCGCTTCCTATAACCATCAATAAGCTTCTGACACCTCTCACCCGGAATTTTGGACCACTCTTCCTTTGCAAACAGCTCCAGGTCTCTCTTATTGGAAAGGACACCTTTTCCCAACAGCAATTTTAAGATCTCTCCACAGGTGTTCAATGGGATTTAGATCTGGGCTCATTGCTGGCCACTTCAGAACTCTCCAGCGCTTCTTTGCCATCCATTTCTGAGTGCTTTTTGACGTATGTTTGGGGTCATTGTCCTGCTGGAAGACCCAGGATCTTGGACGCAAACCCAGCTTTCTGACACTGGGCCCTACAGTGCGACCCAAAATCCTTTGGTAATCCTCAGGATTTCATGATGCCTTGCACACAGTCAAGGCACCCAGTGCCAGAGGCAGCAAAAACAACCCCAAAACATCATTGAACCTCCACCATATTTTACCGTAGGTACTGTGTTTTGTTCTTTGTAGGCCTCATTCCGTTTTCGGTAAACAGTAGAATGATGTGCTTTACCGAAAAGCTCTATCTTGGTCTCATCTGTCCACAAGACGTTTTCCCAGAAGGCTTTTGGCTTACTCAAGTACATTTTGGCAAACTGTAGTCTTGCTTTTTTATGTCTCTGTGTCAGCAGTGGGGTCCTCCTGGGTCTCCTGCCATAGCGTTTCATTTCATTTAAATGTCGACGGATAGTTCGCGCTGACACTGATGCTCCCTGAGCCTGCAGGACAGCTTGAATGTCTTTGGAACATGTTTGGGGCTGCTTATCCACCATCCGGACTATTCTACTGCGTTGCAATCTTTCATCAATTTTCCTCATCCGTCCACGACCAGGGAGATTAGCTACAGTGCCATGGGTTGCAAACTTCTTGATAATGTTGCGCACTGTGGACAAAGGCAAATCTAGTTCTCTGGAGATGGACTTGTAACCTTGAGATTGTTGATATTTTGCCACAATTTTGGTTCTCAGGTCCTCAGACAGTTCTCGTCTCCTCTTTCTGTTGTCCCATGCTTAGTGTGGCACAGACAGACACACAATGCAAAGGTTAAGTGAACGTCTCTCCTTTTTATCTGCTTTCAGGTGTGATTTCTATATTGCCCACACCTGTTACTTGCCCCAGGTGAGTTTACAGGAGCATCACATGCTTGTAACATTCTTATTTATCCGCAGTTGTGAAAGGGTGCCAATACTTTTGTCCAGCCCATTTTTTGGAGGTTTGTGTGACATTATGTCGAATTTGCTTTCTTTCCTCCCTTTTTTTGTTTTGTCCCAATACACACAAAGGGAATAAACATGTGTATAGCAAAACATGTGTTAATGCAATACGTTTCGTGAGAAATACATGATTTCCTGGAGAAATATCAAGGGTGCCAACAATTTCGGCCATGACTGTAAGTGCAGAAGTTTTCGAGCGTCGCTGCATTTCAACTAGTACTGCAGCATCAACTGCTTTCTAATTTTATATTTTAATAAGCTTTTTTTTTTTTTCCTTAAACAGAAGATTTTTGTCAGAGTAGAAAAACAATGTGGAAATAGGCAGACCTGTTCCAAACAGCATGCAGTGCCTATTTCTCAACTTTTACCCATTTTAGTTTTAAGTAAAGCAACTGTTCTTTGCCACCATCTTCAGAGGTAAGGTCAGTGGTGGAGGGAGTTGCCAAAGGGCCCCAGTAAAAGACCAAATTTGGACCTCCCTTTAACTATTGGCAAAGTGAAAAAAAATATGTATTTGTGTTGTTACATATGTAATGTGTTATCGATCTCGTCGTGGTAGTGATGCTCACAACGCCTGTCTGACCCACATCTTCTATAAAGTTCCAAAGGTCTCTTTGACATCAGTACAATAGGCAGAATTATTTCTCATTACTCATTAAGACATGTCATATTTCCCTAATGTAATTTATCTTTTGTCTGAATTGGGGAGGAAAACTGGGCTTATGGTATGTAATGCTGTCATTGCCTGTTTGTTGTGCTGCACTGAGCAATGATTTTGTACCATGGGCCCTGGTCTCTTTTCAAGAATTGAAATTAAATTGAAAGAATTCCAGGTATAGATATTTTATACATAGTTACATTGATCCAATGTAATTATGTATATACCAGTAGACACTACAACGCCAGTGATCTTCAATTGCTTTGGGTCCAGTGCGGAGTAACTGCCCCTTCTGTATTTAGAACACAGGAGATCAGCCCCTTGCCATCAGCACCATTTGCAGAATGCTCTGCATTTTATGAATGAATGCAAAGTGTTCCATGATTGGATGGGATGGAGAGGTGATGTCACCCTCTCCACCTTGTCTAATCAGAGAACACTTTGAATTAATTCAGAAAATTCAAAGCATTCTCTGAACAGAACCTGACCCAAGAACCTAAACGTGGTAGGTAAACACAGCTAAACTGACATTTTTAACCTACATTTTCTAGCAGTTAGTTTCCAGCGTTCAGAAAAGTTTTTCAAATGCCTGTGTACGAGCCCTTAGTTTCTTCCCCGAGTTAAAAGAAACAAAAGTTTCCTTTTAGTTTATTTCGCAAGATAAAAGAAACAGTTTCCTTTAGCTCCAAAAAAAAACCAAAATACCAATTAAGTGTGTATTGATTTTAGACGCCAAAACTTTTGTGCACATGTTCTTAGCTGCAAAAAGATGAGCATTTATTATATGACTGCTCACTGCCACCCCCAGGATCTCAGGCTAGTGGTGTGCTGTAAGGGACAATTCTCAGATCACTTCCGCATCATCCTATAGCAGAAATACTGCTACAGCGTGGCACGGGTGTGCAAAATCACGTATATATACACATGATTTTGTAGTTCCATTTACAGCCTTGGCTGTAAATCACCGGGGGGGAGAACTGTGTATAAACAACACAGATTTCTCCCGTCAAATCCTGCACACTGCTTTGTATGGCTTTACACAGCAGAGCCATACAATGCAGTGTGCTTACAGTGTAAAGCACACACACAGCGAAGCAGCACACAGTCAACCCTTTGATCGCTCCAGATGTTAATCCCTTCCTGCCCAGTGACATTAGTACAGTGTCAGTGCTTTTTATTCGCACTGATCGGTGCATTAGTTTCACTTGGGATGTTAGTGACACCAAGTACTTTCCCCCCCAGTGTCAGAATGCCCGCCGCAGACCCGCTATAAGTCGCTGATTGCCGCCATTACTAGCAAAAAAAAAAAACCACCAGTATCTATACCGCCATTTGTAAATGCTATAACTTTCACGTAAACCAATTAATTTACATGTATTTGGATTTTTTTTTAAGCAAAGATATGTCGCAGAACACATTTTTGCCTAAATTTATGAAGAAATTAGATTTTTAAAATGTATTTACTGGACACGTTTAACTGGTTCCCAACCGCACTATAGCCGAAGGACAGATACAGCGTGGTTGTGTAATCCTGGAACGACGTCCATGAACGTCATTCCAAGACATGCCCCCCTGAATGCCCCCCCAGCGGCACGCACCTGGCCTCGCCGGTGATCGCTGTATCCTATGGACACAGCTGATCATGTAGTACAGTGTCCAATGACACAGCGATTACCGGGTAAATACAGTTGCTGGTTATCGGCTGCACTTTCCTCACGCTGTCACAGCATGAGGAAAGTACTGCTGAGAACTGGCGATTGTCAGCGAAGGGATCAGCACTGATGATCAGTGCCCAGCATTGCCCCCCTCCTGTACCCATCAGTGCCACCCAACTGTGGCCGGCAGTGCCACCCAACTGTGCCCCTTAGCAGTGCCAGCTACCTGTGCCACTCAGCAGTGCCGCCCATCAATGCTGCCCAGTAGTGCAGCCTCATCAATGCACATCAGTGAAGGAGAAAAATTACCAGTTTGCAAAATTTTATAATAGAAACGAAAAACTTTTTTTTTCCCAAATTCTTTGCTTTTTTTTTTTTGATTATAGCACAAAAAAAAAAAAATCACACACACAGCAGCGAGTAAATACAACCAAAAGAAAGCTCTATTTGTGTGAAAAAAAAAAATTACAGTGTTGCATGACCACGCAATTGTCATTCAAAATGTGACAGCACTGAAAGCTGAAAATTGGCCTGGACAGGAAGGGATATAAGTGCCCAGTAAGCAAGTGGTTAATAGCAAAACGTCACAAATACTGTTTATTTTTTTGTTTGCGCTTTTCATTGTTTGTGTTATAAACAGAGGCGATCAAATACCACTGAAAGAAAGCTCTATTCACGGGGGAAAAAAAAAAAAAAAAGAACACGAGTTTCATTTATGTAGTGTTGCATGACCGGGCAATTGTTAAAGTAACGTAGCGCAAAAAAAAAATGGCCTGATCAGGAGGGGGGGGGGGGGGGGGTGGTGGGGGTAAATCCTCAGGAGGGAAAGTGGTTATGTTTGGATCACCATGTGGCCAACATAAACACAAACTCAAATACTGAACTACACTGCAAGGATTTCCTCATCACATCATTGTCATAGAATAAGATTGGCCAACATAAAAAAAAAAAAACAGCAGTTGATGACAAGCTGATAAAAATACCATCACAATAGTAGCCATAATATACAATGTATCAATCCAAGCCGGTCCTGTGGAAGTAGCCTGTACTGCCTTCATATCACACTGTAACCAGTATAAAGTACAACGTGCCCCTAGCAGCACCGGATCATGTATAAGCAGAGCTGCCTCCTTCCACTGACACTGCTTTGTAATGGATATTGTTGTGTCTTACCTAGTAGAGCTGCCTGCTCCGGGTCCCCCCTGTACTCCCATACTGCCTTAGCAGCCATGTGTACTTCTCACACATGCGCAGTGCTCAGCACTTCCTAGGAAGCCGAGGGGAGAAGAACCGGTTGCAACCAACCAATGGAATGCCAGTTACCAGCAAGAGGCATCTTCCCATCCGAGGAATATCACACAGCGCCACCTAGTGCTTGATAAAGTGTACAGCATTTCCAAAGAAGGTTAGGTTCACACCTATGCAGTTTGATTTGATCACTTTCTGCAGTGCTTTCTGAGGTGCGTTTTTGCACACGCGCTTTTTTTGCCTTTTTTTTTGCCAAATTTGTTGTTGGACAGATTACAAAACGCAAAAACGCACTACCTGCTTTTCCGCCTGGTTCACATATCGGCGTTCCTGCGGTCCACGTTTTGCACGGGCACAAGAACCCATTCATTTCAATGGACTCCCGTGCCTCGGGACACGCAGGGAAGAAGTCCTTGCACTTTTGAAAACGCAGCGGGAATCTTGGTTTCCAGTACGGTTGCGATTTCTAGTGCGGGGGCGGCATGCCGTTAGAATTAATGGCACTCACCCGCGGAGCTGCATTCTTCTGTGCGGGTGGTGTGGCTGCACAGATTTATGTGCAGATCCGCAGCAGCACCACCTGCACATATGTGAACATAGCCTTCTGCAGTGTCTCCATTAAAGTCTAAGAACCAAAAATGCCATCTGCTGCATGAAGCAGGGGCGGACTGACCATTTGGAAACTCGGGGGGGCACTGCCCGAGAGCCCGGGGTCAGTAGGGGGCCCCATGAGATGCCCCTGGTACCTTTTTAATAGGCTTCTTTGAGTTTGGGCAAGGACACAGGGGCCCTGTGATCCTCTATTGCCTGGGGGCCCCATGAGTTGTCAGTCCTCCCCTGGTATGAAGGCTAGGTTCACACCTATGCAGGTTGTGTTTGAGTAGTTTCTGCGTTTTGCGTTGCGTTTTTGATGCGTTTTGTGTTTTTCTTTTTTTTTCTTGTTGCTAGGCAGATTTAAAACGCATCAAAAACATGGCAAAAATGCAGCAAAAACTCAATATATGCTTTTCTGCAGCGTTTCCATTGAAGTCTATAGAACCAAAAATGCAACTTTTTGCATTTACACCCCGGTCACACCAAAGCCGCTTTTGAAATTATGCAACTTACAGTGAAGTTGCACAATTTCAAAATCGGGTGACCTACCAATTTTCTTGCGATTTGCAAGACATCTGACACAGATGCACTACTTTAGAAATCGGTGCGGCTCCAACCAAGTCAGCACCACACCAATATCACCGCTCCAATAGCAGACAATAGGGTACGACTTGGCATACAATTTGCAAGTCGCTTGGCATGTAAATTGCATGCCAAATCACACCCGATGTGACCGGGGGCTTAAACAAGTCCCTGAGCCTGGGTTCACACTGATGCACTGTGAAATTCGCAGCGGTTTCTGTGCAAATTCCGCACCGCATCAGAATTGCACCTCGTTCATGCGAACCGCTGTGGGTGTGTATATTAACAACACCCCGAAATCGGTCCGCAAAACGCTGTGCGATGTGCAGAATCGGATTGCATAGGTGTGAATACCCGTGCAATCCGATTAAAGTGCGGACTAAAAAAAGGGTCCTGCACCTTTTTGGTGTGGATTCAGTGCAATTTGAGCCATACAAAATGTATGGCTCAAATCGCAATGCACAGAATTCGATGTTGACTTGCACAGGAATGCGGTGCGGTTCCTGTGCAAATAACATGCGATATACCGTACCACACAAGTGTGAACACAGGCTGACCCTTTCCAAAAAACACATGGGGTGAAAATGCACACGTGAACATGTCCCATAGGAAATCATGTTAAATGGACTGTACTGCATTTCTGCAAAATGCAAAATGCTGCAGAAAACGCTTACCTGTGAACCTAGGGTAAAAGCAGTCTGGTTGACACCAATGCAGTTTGCGTTTTGTCCTTTTTTGGTTTGGTTCACACGAATGTGTTTTTTATTGCTTTTTGCAGAAACGCACTACAGTCCATTTAACATGGTTTCCTGTGGGACACGTTCACATCTATGTGTTTATCAGCTGCTGCATTTTTGGAAAGGGTCAAGGACTTTTTTAGCCTGGGTTCACACTGATGCAGTGAGGAATTTGCGATTTCCGCACCGCATCATAATCGCACCCTATTCATTTGAACCATTGTAGGTGTGTATTTTATGTTAACGACACCCCAAAATCAGTTCGCAAAACACGGTGCAATGTGCAGAATCGGATCGCATGGGTGTTACCAATTCTGGTGCGGGCTAAAAAAGGGTCCTGCACTTTTCTGGAGCAGATGCAGTGCGATTTGAGCCATTCAAAATGTATGGCTCAAATTGCACCGTACACAAATCGCATGTGATTTGCTCAGGAATGTGGTGTGGTTCCTTAGCCAATCACATGCAATGTGCAGCACCTCATCAGTGTGAACCTGGGCTTAAACACAAAAAGCAGCATTTTTTCTACAATAGAGTTCAATGGCGCGTTTTTGCCACATTTTGCATTTGCCTTGTTATTCTGCCCAGCAACAAGAACATTTCCCCTTTAATGAAAAACCACCAAAAAAACTGTGAAAAAAACACAGTAAAAATGCAGCAAAAAAAAAGTGTGTAAAAAAAGTGAAAAGCAAAATGCATTGCAAAAACAGATCAAATGCAAACTGTATTGGTGTGGCGTTTTTGACGCGTTTTGCATTTTTTTATACTTTTTTTCTGAGCCAACTTGTTGCTGGGCAGATTAAAAACGCAGAACATGCGCCAAAAGCACATGACATGCGTTTTCTGCAGTATCTCCACTGAAGTGTATTGAACCAAAAATGCAACATTTTGCATTTAAAAAAGTCTCTGACCCTTTTAAAAATGCAAAGATGTGAATGTATCCCATAGAAAACCATGTTGGATGAACTGTAGTACGTTTGGGCAAAAGGCACTAAAAAAACACATTGATGTTAACCAGGCCTAACACTGGGTTCACTCTGATGCAGGGGCAGACTGGCAACTCGGTGGTCCTTGCCCACACTCAAAGCACACCCAAAAAAGCCTATAAAAAAGGTACCAGGGGCATTTCATGGGGCCCCCTAATGACTCTGGGCCCTCGGGCAGTGCCTGAGTGATCGAATGGTCAGTCCGCCCCTGCTCTGATGCAATGTGGGAAGCGCAGCGAATCCTGTGCATCTTCTGCACCACATTGAAATTGCACAGTGTTTGTGTGATCTGCTGGGGGTGTCAATGTTAAATTAAGGACACCCTGAAACAGCTTGCAAAACACAGTGCAATTGCCAAAACTGGATCATCATGGTTGTGAACAACCATGTGATCCAATTCCGGTGCGGTAAAAAAAAAGGGTCCTGCCCCATTTTGGTGCAGAAGCGGTGCGATTTGAGCCATACAAAATTAATGTTCTAAAATTCCTGTGCGAATCACATGCAGGGTCTCCCACACCGCACATTTGTGAACCCAGGCTGACACATTTCAATGCAGTTTTTTGTGCTTTTTGCAGAAAAACACACAACAGTCCAATTAACATGGTTTCCTATGGGACACATTTTTCAGCTGCTGCGTTTTTGGAAAGGGTCAGGGACTTTTTTCAGCACAAAATGTTGAATTTTTGGTTCAATAGACTTCAATGGAGATGCTGCAGGAAAGTATGTAGTACGTTTTACTGATGCATTTTTCATTCGCGTTTTTTTAATCTGCCCAAAACAAATTGACCAAAAAAAAGCATTAATAAACACAAACCACGTAAAAAAATGTGTGGGAAATCATGCGTGCAAAAACGCACAGCTAAAAGCACTGCACAAACGAATCAAAAGCAAACTACATAGGTGTGAACCAGGCCAAAATCGCACCAGTTGAAAATGCAGAGATGTGACCGTGACCCATAAGAAATCATATTAAATGAACTGTAGTGTGTTTCTGAAAAATGTGCCGCAAAACCCTTAGTTGTGAGCCTAGCCTAAGACCTGGTTCACAGCTATGCAGTTTGCCTTTGATCCGTTTCTGCAGTGCGTTTTGCGTTTTGACACAGGCGTTTTTTAACCTTTTTTATGTGTGTTTTTTTAGCCAATTTGTTGTTAAGCAGATTAAAAAACAAAACTTGGCAAAAAAAACTCACATGCTTTTCTGCAGCATCTCCATTGAAGTCTACTGAATCAAAAACACACCATTTTGCGTTTAAAAAAAAATCCCTGACCCTTTTAAAAAATGCAGCGGCTGAAAACGTATCGATGTGAAAATGTTCCATAGGAAACCATGTTAAATGGACTGTAGTGCATTTCTGAAAAATGCAAAAAGCACTTACAAATGCATTGGTGTGAACCAGGCCTAAAGGCAAACCTTTTTTGGTTCATCTTGGAGAGTAAGGGAGATTTTTTTTCCATCCGTGTCCCATAGGGGAAATTTCCCTTTACTGCCTGTCCAATAACCAAAACAGGAACTGAGAAGAAATCCCTCCAAAGTAGGGAAATCTCAATGGGTCACCAGAAATAGTGTCCACATTGGAAGATTATCCATCTATCCCTGTTGCAATGTCAACCAAAAATGTGGGATTGTCTTTTACTTTCACTTTTAATTATGATGGTAAAAAGGACAAAAAGAGAGGGTGAGTTTAACCAATCATTTTTATGTATAAATTGTCCTTGTAAGGAGGCATGGCAGGCGGTGTATCTTATGAATACATACTTTTTCTACTTCTGTAGTGTGGCAGTACCCAAATATTTAAGCTTTAACATTTCTAAAAGCATTTGTTTGCAGAAGCAGGTCATCAGCTTACCTCCTTCCCCTCATTTCCTGTGGAACCATATGTTCCAGCCTAGCAGCTGCAATGTCTGTGAAACCGCAAAGGCTAACTGCTCAGAATTTATTTTAACAGTACAGAAAAGTAAAGAGGAAATCAGGGGCGGACTGACCATTTGGAAACTCGGGCACTGCCCAATGGCCTGGGGTCAGTAGGGGGCCCCATGAGATGCCCCTGGTGCCTTTTTCATAGGCTTTTTCGAGTTTGGGCAAGGAC